GGGAAAGAGACGAGAATGAAAAATGCATTTCTTTTCTTTAGCGGTGCGCGTAACATTTTGACCAATGATAACTAGAACTGCGCACAAAGAAAACGTCGACGTCGACGTCGCTGATAGTGCTAACTTCCTGGCCGTGGACGCCGCCGATGTTTTAACGCGATGACTCATTTAGAGCCCGTGCGCGAGAGCGTACAGTCTCTCCCTCGCTTTCTCTCCTTTTCTTTTTCTCTCTCTCTCTCTCTCTCTCTCTCTCCTCTTCTTTCTCTTCTTCGCATCAAAACGCAACGCTTACGAAGAGGAGGCCTGTACACGTGTACGTCGCCCGAAGCAATTTTCACACGGAGGCTGCGTCCCACATAAAAGGACATTTCTGAGGATAACGGCGGATGTGTTCATCAGGACCATCTGCTCGCTCGGCGGTCACGCGGCACGGCGGCATGGATTTTCCCTCTTTCTATTTATAGTCGTCACACGAATCATGGCCAGGACTAGCTAGGATTTGGAGCGCGAGATAGAGACGGCTACTCGCGACGAGTCGCGATGATTGCGATACCATCGATCGTGGTATCGCAGCTCGCTGACCTCGCCGTGTTCCATGTTCCGAATCGCAGGGCTGGCCGTTGTCGCGACTCCCCGTGCCCATCTCCGAGATCGTTCCGAGGGGGAGAGGGACTTTGAGTGATCTCAGACCCAGGTTCGCATCCGAGACGATTGTATGACATTTGCCCAATGTCATGTTGCCGGGGCGAGGAGAGAAGAGCTGAGGAGAGGAGAGCTGAGGAGAGGAGAGCTGAGGAGAGGAGAGCTGAGGGGAGGGGGAGGGCGAGAAGGTGCATATCGTGCAGCGGTTAACACGCGATCGAACATCGAAGAAATATCGACGAGGGCGGGGAAGTAGCGGGGGAGAGAGGACGATGAGCAGGGGTATAGGGGTACTAGACAGAGAACTTATTGGAGCCGGAGCTACTTACAGCATACCAGAGCAAGAGGTACAGACGAACGAGCCGATCGTCATGTTGACGTAAGTCGGCCCGCGCTGGTTGCAGTCGAAGCATTCCTTGTTGCCCGGTTGCGAGACCAGTTCGCGGAGCGTCTTCAAGTTCCTCTCGTCCTGCTTCCTCTTCGTGGACGCCATCCCGTCTGCGTGCGTATGCGTGGATATACGCGCGCTCGCGCGCGGCGGCAACGGGTGTGCGCCTTGCGGCGACGGCGTTTGCGCTGGTTTGCGCTGGTTTGCGCCTCGAGGTTCGAGACGAACACGAGATGAACGAGCCTATCTATGCCAACTTACGCCTACTAAGTCGTCGAGCTCAGTCGAGCCGACTAGTCGAGTCGAGCTGCGTCGAACGGTCGAACGCGGGCGCGATCCCTAGGTTCCACTTTCCAGGGATTGTACGAACCACCTATCACGCCGCGCCTACCAGCGCCTACAAAACTGATCAAACTGACTGCGATGCGCAACCAGCGCAACGGCCGCTGCGTTCACTACTTCACTCATTTACTCTCTTTCTCTCTTGCTCGCTCGCTTTTGCTCTCTTCCCTCACTTCGGCAACTTGACAAGCATTTTGACATGTAAGTATACAAGGATACGCGAGACATCCAATGAAAGCGCGTGAGTCCTAGGGATTGTGTAAGACGCTATTTTCATTCCTAGGAAACGAATCTTTTCATTGGATGTCGAACGGAGTGTGAATTCATCGTTAGAGGAGTCAGCTGTATTTATACGTGCATACGTCACAGCCAGAGGGCGACTTCGATTAAAATCCAATAAATTTAATCGGCGATTAAATCGATCCGTGGAATTGCTTAATTACAGTAAAATCTTTAGCTAGATTAATAACGCGGTATTAAGTTAAATTCATGATTTACTATTTATAAATGTTTCACACATAAGTAAACGTACATATTGATAACGCAATGCTATCGTCGTATATCGCAAAACTGCATTTTTTTCCACGCGATTATCACCCGCGTGAATAAACCTGAAACAAATAACAATTAATGATGTACAGTTCTAACTTTAATCTCGGTTAAACTTACTTTTTATTCTGTTACTGGTCTAAAGAATCAGAAAAAGTTAAAGATCGAGTAAGTAAAACCGAGATTAAAGCTGGATAATTATCCGCTTACATTGGTTTGACATATGAGTCTATGCCCGTTTCTACCAAAATATATAAATTTAATCTTGGCTTAAGTAACTCTTCATCTTTGTCTAGTTTTAAGAATTAAAAAAAAGATGAAGAGTAAATTGAACCGAGATTGAAGTTATCTATGTTGGTAGAGAAATGGACACGTATAAATCGTTCAAATTTTAACAGTCATGCGAATGCTGTGGAAAGCATTACAAGAGCTGTGTTTTTCAAAATTCACTGTCAGTGTCGAAAATTTATACATATGATACAGTGAACTGTATAGATTTTCAGTACTCGTAGTGAAAACGGAACGCAGCCTATACATAGGTATAGATTTGTAGCGCTGGCAGTGAATTTTGGAACCCGATCAAGATTGACCGCTTTTTAGATCTGTTTGCATTGCTTGTACTTTTTACATTCAGCATCTTCGCTTAAATTTTTTTCGTCCCAATATCCGAATATAATTTATCTCCTTTTAAGTACAACAATTTTTGGAGATTTCAAGTAACATAAATAGACCTCTTGTCGGTGATATCGTCAATTTTGTATCGGCACAAGTATTCTTTCGAAATTCTTCAATTTCTGTAATAATTTATATATTTTCTCGATTACTACACATTTTGGCTGCTTTTCTTTTAGTCGACATAAGCCTTGTTCTATCCTTCTTATGATATAATTCAATAAATAATAAAGATAGAATATTTCCCCTATAGTATAAAATAATACTGCAGTAATAATTGTAATTTTAATATTTTGTAGAAAATATTACTGCAATATCGCTGTAATTAAATAATATAAGTATAATATATATATGTATATTTGTATTACCAAATATACAAATAAATTACATGATACATAAAACACCCACACAATTCTCCAACAGATGTCATAATTAAGGTCCAGATGACATCCTTATCATCCTATGGGTGTCGTCAGGACATTATACTTGGGGAACTGTGTTGTAAATATAATGGACAGATAATTAATAATTATAAAATATATAGGTATAAATCTTCCGATCGATGGAAGCATGTACAAAGTAGATTCGAATCTACTTCGATCTTGCTGATCGTAGATCATAGTGATCGTGACCAACCACATCCTACTCGTTTGCTAGAAGTTGTTGCGAACGGATTTCACTTTCTTTGTCTGATCTGACCAGTTTTCCGTTGTAATTTAGAGACGTAATATGGCATTGTTTTGGGGTAAGATGATTTGCCCTTTAATTGTAAATATTTAATAAAATCCATGAATATTGCGGCGAATCGTCTCATCCAACCAATGTCGCTACTCATGTTACAGCGATGATTCTACAACCGGGGAATAAATACTCGCAATACGTGAATGAGTCCTTCCGCATAACTATGGCAAGTTTGGATATCACATGTGCTAGTAAGACACAACTTTTGAACTCTTTCGTGAAACCTCGACGGTTATACATACCTGAAACTCTGAAATTCATTCCGTAAACCCCATTAATTCCCGCCTCTATCTTAGCATATCTTGACGCGCCTTCGTGTGTAATGGCTATAATATATACAACATGTGGAGCGTTGTAACGCTACATTTTAACAGAGAGTAGTATTACAAGTTGTTCAGGTCAAGATCAAAATAAATGTGCATTGTATCATGTATTTTATTTACATCGCGAATTATGTCCTGTGAAACAGTTAATTGTTTACATGCCTAAAAATTGCGCGTCTTGCCTTACCTTTGCAGGTGACAAACCGATACAAGTAATGATGGCTTATGAACAAGCAAGGTTTCTACTTTGTACTTTACACAAGGATAAACCATGGCAAGTTCAACTCAACGTTCTTGTGCAAAAGGAAACTGTTGTAACACTTTCATGCAACGGTGGAAGTTACGTTCATCTAACTGGACATTACAGAATTAACTCGAGAGTACCTCCATTTAATCCAAATTGGATAACAACTTTATCTTGGCACATATTAAACGAAAAAGTAAATGAGCTAAAAAATAAAGGAACTTGTCTAGAAGAACTAATTGAATATTTGAATAAATATACAACAGTAAAAGTCGAGAAAAAATGGATAGTTACACCACACATTATTAAAAAGAAACAAATCCAAGAAGATAGAATACCTCTTCAAGTTCTAAACTTAAAAAGAAAAAGCTTTATGGAAAATAACAACAGAACGGAAGAAACAGTAAAGCGCATAAGGCCATTACTTTATTGCAATGAAAATATTAATTTTAATAATGATTCTTCTGAGAATTCTTCTAGGATTTCTTCTAAGGAGTCTTCTGAGAATTCTTCTGAGAATTTTTCTGAGGGTTCTTTTGGGAGTTCTTCTGACGATTCTTCTATGGAAAGTAATGACGATGACGATTATAAAGAAAATAAACCACCAATATATCATTTAAGACCAAGAAATAGACAGAAAAATGGAAGAAAAAATGAAAATAAGAGTAAAATACAGAAAAGAAGAAAGAAAGAATCTGAAAAGCGAGAAATAAAAGAGAAACAGCAGAAGGCTAAAGTTATCGAGAAAAAATTGAAGGAAGATCTTGATAAAACGAAAAAGAATAGCAAGCAGCAAGGTGTAAGAATTATAAAGGGTGGTGTGAAAGTGCAAGAGTTAAAACCTGGTACCGGCAAAATCGCGGAAGTGGGTAATTACGTCACAATTTATTATGTGGCTCATGTGAAGATCAGATGCCAAATGTTGGAAGAGTTTGATCGATTAGAAGGACTTGGCTTGAGATTTAAACTCGGTACAGGATTCGTGATCGATGGTTTGGATGTAGGAGTAGTTGGAATGAAAATTGATGAAAAACGTCGTCTTATAATACCACCCAATATGGCGTATGTATAGCATTTTTTCTTGTTTTTTTACTCATACATTCCAATTCGTTTTGCATTGAGTTATTTTCATAGTTTAAAAAAAATTTCTTTATTACACAAGTATAATGTCCGGTCATATTATTTTGAAAACATATAAACTTACTAGTGCTATATGTTTTTTACAGATACGGAGAGGAAGGTTATAGATTCAAAGTTCCACCTAATTCTACAGTTATATATGATGTTGAACTTAAGAAAGTCGAATAAGTATCAATAACCTAGGTATTACTTATAGTTTAAGAATTTTTAAATAAGTTTCACAACTGCTACCGTATTAGGATGACATTTTTTATTTTGTATTTTAATCAGAAACTCTTAAATTTTCGATTTATTTCTCTTTATTTTATACTTATATATGATGTACTTATAAAACTTGAGTAAATTTGAATGACTTAAATATTATTTATAAATAGTTTAGGATCTTTTTTAACTTTATGATTGTTACCTTACTAAAATGTAACAATTTTTTTTTATTTGAAGCAGAAGATCTAGACTCAATATGCTCCTCCTTATTTCATACTTATACTCGTATATGTGTGAAATTGAATTCATCAAAAGTCGAGTTATTAATTAACCAATTACAACTGCTATCTTATTAGAATATACAATCTTTTTTTATCTAGTGTTTGATACATGCTTATGTATCTAAATAAATGTAACTAAATAAATAAAACGGAAAAGTTTTTATATGAAAATATTGATATACATATATAATTTTAATATTTTATCAAAATGTTAGATAATTTTTAGAGTAAATTTTTCAAAGTTCCTATAGATTTAAGTTTATTATTAATAAGATATCATTTATAAGGATTATTCCGAATAAATACTTATAATTATTAATTAATAAATTACCAAAGAGAGATAATAAAGGGTTTGATAATTCTGTATAAATGTCTGTGCATATCTATATATATATGATATAATTATATCCTATGATTGTACTAACTATATTCTATAATATAATTACTTTTCCTACGATTGTCTTTCATACATAATAAAACAGAGATTGACGACTGAAGTGCAAATTTAATTGAAATATCATATTGTAAATAAACATGTATATGAAACAAATATTAAGTTATAAATTTAATGTCATAGGTTCATCAGTGTTATTGGAGTTTAGTATTAAGAATTAAGAAAACTGTAAATAAAAGCATTGCTATACTATGTTGTTTTAATATTTCGACATGCACATTCCTTAAAATTTTGTAGCTTCAAATCATAAATTAAATTAAAATAATATTAGACTAAAATGATAAGAGAACGTTTATATATATTATATATTTATTCTATTATACATAAGATAATCATATTCCGTTTAACAAATCTTGGCATGTGCACATATGGATAACAAAAGACAGACAAACTAGACTGTTACAAATCACATAGCTAATCTTTTAATAAATTGACATCAAATAGCGATTTGCAATTATGTCAATAGAATATATTTAAATTATAAACTTTTGATTATTTAATAAAAACGTAAACATTGAAGTAACCCATGTCGATTGAGCAAACCGCATACCTCAAGGAAAAGCAACTCGGCTGTTCTTCATTCGCTTTTTTTTGCCACATCATCTTTATCTTTCCATGATAGGGTACATGTTCCGTTTTTGCATTCCTTTATCAAATCTGGACACAGCTGATCCTCCTTGATCTCCTGTCCTTTGTTTCTCAACTGCCACCACTTGATCAGTAACGGTTGTACAAGGAACTTCCATATTATTAGGATTATAGGAACCGCGAAGCATGGCACGCACACCATTCTGTATCTAACTTATTTTTATAATCTAAAATTATAGAGAAGCAATTTTCAGAGAGAGAGAGAGAGAGAGAGAGGAGGAAAGACAGAAATGTCAATGTTCATCTCGGAGAGACAGTACAGCTGCAGCTTCGTAGATCGCATGATCAATCATCTCGTTTCTTATCATTACTGCGTTTGCCGTACGTTCACTTTCGAAGGTGCGGAAAAAGAAGGATGATTCTTACCTCGAGGGAAGGAATATCGAGCCTCCACGAGACAACAATCGGGCAAATGTAAAAGAGATCGATATGAGCATAACCTGGACGAGATCGTAGAGTAAAAAATCTGGAAAGTTTTTGACGGATGCAGAAAATATGTCGATTAAGAGCAGATTTATTGTGTATCGAGCTAGAAATCACTGCTAGAGACGATTACTTGGAACGTTGACTCCTCCCTTTAATCTTAATGTTTCACCCCTTCAACACTTCGCTCGATCTGTTACTTGCGACAACTCGCGATCGTGATACACAATAACACAATACAAACATATATCAAAATATACACAGAAGTATACGACACATATCCATTATTCGACTTCCTTCGCCTGTCGTTCGCAGCGCCGCGCTGAGCGCGACTAGCTTGGAGTGCTTGGACTAGTGTCAAATTGACGCGCGCAAGTTACTAGCTATTCTTGGAATGGCTCCGACTAATGGCTCTGATTAACTTAATTGAAGATTAACTTGTCAAGTAACATTTATAATTTCTTAATTTAGAATTACATTCTGTTATTTAAAATATGGAAAACAAAAAAATTAGATCAGAAGCGACAAAATTAGTCAGAAATTTTACGGTGTAAGGATGTAAGCAATTCAATATACTGAATTAATAACCGGTACTTAACTGTATCAAGTAATATTTTATTAACGTGGATTATTATTTTTTTGTTGCTTAACTCTGCTGGTCTGTTCGAGTTTATTTGATCCAAAATGTAATTTATCTTCTTACTAATATTTTATTAAAAAAATTTCTTTTCTGTTTCATTAATCCATCTATTAATGTAAAATATATTTTCTATGAAAATTTTTTGTTTTTTATTTTATCAGAGCTTTGAATCACATTGGTCTAAACAATATGATCGTACAATAAATTTGAACAAACCAGCAAACCAAAGTTAACATACAGATCATCAAAGACAATGAATTATACAATTTCACTTTGAGCACTTCTGCTAGTTGAATTAATGCTCGATTAAGTTAACTGGAGTTGTTTAGTCGAAGTCGTCCTTGTTCTACATAGACCTTTGCTACACGATACGCTTAATCGGGTTTAATAACATCCGTAGTTATGAAATTGTCCAATCATAGCTGTTTCTCGGAAGAATGGAACGACTGTGATTGGCCAGTTTCATAACTATCGGATGTTATTAAACCCGATTAAGGGTGCTGTGTAAATGTAGTCATAGGTACCCGTTTTTTTTTCTACGTGACGTCAATCAACTGGTAACGTTACTTCGCACCTGTATCTGCGAGAAGTCTAATTTATCCATTTTTAACACGATCATGATACGCTATACAATATTTAACATTATACGCATGCAAAAGAACATGGTCACAGCCATATATCGTGATTGCAGGATCTTCTTCGTGTTTCACATTTAATTAATTACACACACACACACGCACGCACGCACGCACACACACAATATGTACATATATTTTAAATAAGGCACTGAAAGTAGCCATATATAATGGAACGAGAGAATTCGTATCGCAAAATGTTTGTCGTAAGAGTTATCGAAGTGTTTAAAATGTTCCAGACGTCAATTCGACTAATCAGTTCCTTTAAAAGCATTCCCAAATGAATATTAATTAGATCACGCATAATTTCTTGCCTTTTGACTCTTACATGCTTCCAAACACCTTACGACCCCTCGTTACAGATAACGAGACAACGACGACGCTCAATACGAAGAAAACTAGACCGAAGAGAGTGGTCAGGGCTCTGCACCATTGCCGCTTCCGTTTCGCTCTCGCAATCATTCGGCCTAAACGCTCGGCCTGTGTCACGTCGAGCGTGAAATCAAAATCCTCGCCCAAGCCTCCAACACCTAAGCGATGGTTCCAGTTGTTTGCGTTCAACGAGGCAATTGTTCCTTCGGTGGATGACCCGACATCGCTGCATACTAGCTGCTGAAATAATGTTCCTCCATACAGTATAACGTTACTATATATACACTTGCTGAATGTTGATTAAACGTGTTTATGTTGATAAACCGTTTCCACCAAAATGTAGATTAATACTTTAATCTACGTTCAACTCTTCATTTTTGTTCTAATTCTTAGAATTGAAAAAAGATAAAGAGAAAGTTAATCTGAGATAAACTTTCAATCTACGTTGGTGAAAACGAGCATTAATCGAATAACATAAATCCAAAGAGTCTTTTCTTTCTCAAGAAACTATGCTAGTACTCACCGAATACTTGGACTCGGTTGCGCAAGGTTTCTTTTTCGTGAGGCTGGAGTTGTTTCTCATTTCGCTGTCGCCTTCGCATCTCGTCATCCCGTCGTTCTTGAGCGCCGAGTTGTACTCGTAGAGGCAACGAGGACCGACACAAAGTTTCGAGTTGATTGGATTCACTTTCGATGGTACGTTCTTCACGCGGCTCAGCGATACCGTTGGATTCTTATCATTGAACGCCCAGGATGGGCAAATGTACTCGTACACGTTGTCGTTCCTCGTGCCAATCTCCAAGGAAACAATGCGCGATATATCGCGTAAGATATCTTCCGGTGCCGCCGTGACGTTGCCGTCTATCACAGAATTGAGAGTACGGGATAATTCGAGCAGCACCTCACGAGCTCTTGATGGTGATGATGTCACCTGCAGCTGCGGTGGCGAATACTTAAACGTGCAACCGCATACGCGACACGTATAAATATCTGTTACGATAAAACAAAAACGAAATAAACGAGATTTTTGAAAAGTGAAAGTAAATACAGCGAAGTCGTCTTCCAGACAAAACTTTCGTTTATAGTTTATACCTTCATAATCGCCTGCACTGTGATCCTCTGTATGATGATAGATGACGGAAGGCCAAATGGGCCGCGGTATCGCTTCGCTTTCGTGAATTATCGCTAGGTTACCGTACGATGGATCCCTCGTTGACGCTGACGCGTAATAGGAGTACGAGCCGGCTGACAACGGCGGTGAGTGGCTCGAGTAACCGGAGCTCGTCGACGTTCTGTAACATCTTCGTGGATTATTGCGCGACGCCGTTGACTTGCTGCCTGCGATGCCGCTCACGAATTTAGAAATTTCTATGTCTGCCAAGTCTGATCTTATCCTGGAAAATTATTCCATCGAGTACGATGGACAACATGTAATAAATACATATATATCTCATTGAATATTTCTATTATATTAGAGCAAAGAATATGTCGCGTTTCTCGTTTAAAATTTCAAATAATGTACAACTTCCATTTTTATTAATCGAAAATTTTATTAATTGAGAAAATCACCATTCGGTTTTAATGGCCGCGTTTAGAAGAATTTATTTTGCAATTGTTGGAATTTTCTATTTCGCGTTGATTGTAGATAAGAACTGACGTCATTTCTAATTAAAAAAAATTTTGTTAAGATAATGTAATGGTCGGAGACTTGTACCATTCGATGTCGTACGTAGGTTCGATCGTAGGCGACGCGGCATAAACGCGCCTAATATCGACTTCGGCACCTTCGGGATCGATCCGACTCCTGATTCCAGGATCGCGCGGGATCGCCGCTCGTCTCGCTACGCCGGCACTCGGACGCATCCCCCGACGGCACTCGGTGGCATTCGGACGCTACCTGACGCTACCACAGGGATCGGACGCAAGCTCGTCCAAGGCCAGTTGCTGGAACCATCGCTGCATATGCTCAATCATCAGCTGCGTTTTTGTCGTCGACGGACCTCGTCCTCATGGATTCCTATAATGGGCCATAGCGATTGATCTCTTCTGCCTCGAATTTTGTCGAAAGCAAATCGCGCTTTATGTATAAATTTATATACACGTTTACTTCACCAAACGATCTTATCGAATACGCGCGTGTGACGGATGATCCACGTTTCAAGGTCGCTTTCACATTCGTTGTGTTCACATAAGAAATCGGCCAGTGTAAAGCGCCTATTACGTTATTCGGGACGTGTCGAACGAGCGAACGTTAATGGAGGTCATCGTCGTCCTTTTCCTTATGTTATTGCGAACGTTATTTGACCTCCTCTTCTCGACTCCGCGGTCCTCCTCCGCGTGAAGAGTTATCAGTACCCTCGGCACGAGCGAGGGACTCCTCTCCGGCGCGGCGCCCGCGCCGTGTCAAATTTCGACAACGTGACGTACGACTTACGAGGCGAAGAGAAAGCGGATATGCGAGAATAGCTTTCGAATTAGGTCAACTTGAGTAATGGAAAGCGTCCTTTGTGTTCGTTGCGTTAATTCCGTTGCGCGCGTGTCATTCGAATACGCCGCGATCATATGATGCCCAGCGTAATTATCTGCCAGCCACTCGGTTTTTTTTTTTTCGGAGCCAATCCTCCAAGTACCACGATTTTCGGTAAGACGTACCGCTATCGGTAAATCTGCTATCGATCGGTCGTTTGCTCATCAACGTCCGCGGCGAGCATTATTACCTCATAACAAGAGGTACGTATCAACGTATGTACATACGTTATAATTACCTAGGAGACGTGTGGATCAGTGTGCACGTTGCAGCGCTCGACCGTTGTACATTCCATCATCGACGGCCAGTAGCCAACCACTTTCACATCAACACGACACGTTCACCAATGTTTATGTATTAACACCGTACAGCCCCCTAAAATATCACATAATATAAAAGCTTCGTAAAGGTAGAATTCGGTCTTCACACATAAATCGCTACCACCCCATCGATCATAATTATATACAATGATTCACTCACAGAGAAAAGTCGTATCAGTAACTATAAATTTGTAGTGAAATAGCGCCTCAACTATATACGTATTATTAAATTCTAATAAGAATACTAGATTAAGTGAACTAAGAAAATATAGTACATTAACCATATAAACAATTTATAAATGGTTAATATTACTATATTTTCTTAGTTCACTTAATTTACTTATTGTTGTTATTAAAGCTTTATAATACATAGTTACAAATTTGTGTACGCATTTCTTATTTATTTTTGTCTTCCAAGTTTGAAACGAACGCTGCGCCTTTTATCGTAAGCGAGTAGTTTCCTTCTTAGAAGAAACTGAACTCCGCTACGTCCCTCTGGTGACAAAGTCGCGTACTACTCGTACTGAGCGACCCTTTAAAAATTTTTATCTAAACTAGAAAAATGTAATTGTTATATCTATTTGCATGAAGTCCAAGTAACTACTCAATGTAGTTGAGTCACTACTTCACTAACAATTAATAGTGCATACAATTTGTTACCGTGACTATATTTTTATAATATTCAGCACTACTTTCTATTACTTTGTAAAACTAGTTACAGGTACTTGCAAAAGTTACCAAATTTATAGTTGCTGGAACTATTTTGTTTTCTCTCGGTGCTTTTCAACCAACAAATTCGAATTATCTCTGCATAAATTACGGCGATTACTTTCACAAAAATTTTTCCCAAGTAACTTCGTTGACTCATGCCTGTTTCTTATACAAATGTTGATTCTTAGAATTAGAAAAAGTATGTAGAGTTAGATGAACTGAGATTGTATATTGGTATAGAAACGGGCATAAAATTGACAATTCGCAATTCAATTGCAGCTGTTTTCATTCCTAAATTAAAAACACGTATATAGTTTGTGTATAAACGTCACGTAACAGAGAGATCGTACGTATAATAATCTTTTACATAATCTTTTATATAAATGTCGAGATGAGCGAAAAGCAAATGCGGAGACGCATTATGTTATTAATTGGTTGCGTTTTTCAGTAGAAGAAGCATCTTTGCAACTATAGTAAGATTCTCTAATAATTCTCTAATTGGTTCTTGTCCTTACAGTTTCTTGCTGGATAAAACGTATGACCAAGCATATTGAAAAATCTTTACAACGGTAAATCTTTGTAAAGTTGCTTTTTCTGCAACCATTGTTTACGTATAATGTACGTGAGTTACAGCACTCAAGCTGATTGTGAGAATACTTTTTAACACGTGTAGAATGATAAATATGCGTAATGGAGCATATTTCATTTCTAAATTTGAGTCACACGATATCGTTTATTTGGACTTCGTCCTGGGAACGATAATGAATATACGATCTTCATATGCGGGCTGTTGACGAGCGTCAAAAGAAATAACGCAAGATCTTAGCATATTTTCTCCTCAGAGAGTTCCATGGCCTTTCTACGGCGGCGGTTGTTATATATATGCATATATATTATAATATATAGGCAAGATTACAGTATTTTATATGTACATACCAGCAGAAGCAACGCAGGCGGATACGCACCTAAACAACACAAAATCTAAAATTGTGACATATAAGAGGTCTTTAAGTCGTCTTTTAGATGCAAAAAAACGTCTTGTGGCCCGATTTTAGACACTTTTTGTTATATCTGAGCAATCCGCACAATAACGCACAGCCGCGGTATACAGGTTGATACAGGCATACAGCCCGCAGAATGAAACCGCGAAAAATATTTGACTCACGGACTTTCACTCGCACTCATTCAGGACCGTCGACGGAAAAAAGATCGTTACTGCATGCCGCACGCCGCTCGTGCCGCCTCGTTTCGCCTCCGATCTGGCTTGGGACCGGGATCGAGCATCGAAAGATCCTTAAGTACGACCGCTTTCGCAAACGTTCGAAAGTGGAGGATGACATCTCCGATCGTTTTCTGAAGAAATTGTCGCGGTTTATGATATCGCGTTCTTCAAACGCGGGGTCTATTTATTATTGGCGATCCTATTATATATTATATTATATAATGGACCGTGATAATCTACAGAGTTTTGCGCGATCATCGAGCAATACGAAAAAGTTTTGTCCATGCAGTTTCATTTCGTCTCATATCTCGTTCTTCCGCGCCGATTCAAATTTATTCATGTTCACGCCGTTCACGGATCTGTCGCGAAATCAAACATCCGAAGCCGGTACTTTCATTTCTAACAATAAGCCGTGCGATGTTAACACGTACGCGACAGATCCGATCGAACTGTTGCTTGAAGAACATGCCGATTGCAACACACCTGCAGCGGCTGCAGCGCGCCGTAGGAGCAAAAGTATACTTGGAACATAAAAGGTTTGTTCGCGTCGCAAGCTCCAATATGCTCCAATATGCTCCTGCCATAGCTCCTGCTCACTCTATCAAGCGCATTCGAGTGAGTAAGAGCTATGGCAGGAGCATATTGGAACATGTTGGAGCATGCGACGCGAACAAACCTTTTATGTTCAAGAAAGAAAGTGACAATGACTTATGGGCTACATTCCGTTTTATGCATGATGTGCATCATTTATTCTTGTTTAACATTCGGTGAATAACAAGAATAAAAGATGCATCATGCGCATCATGCGTGAAACGGAACGCAGCCATGCTATCGTTGATTATAAGTAACAGATAATAACAATAAAAAATGTAGAGATTTCTCGTAATGGCGTTTCGAAAAACCAAGTACTTAATATAGAAGAAAGATACGCATTTTTCCTGCTTGCTTCTTACAGAAAATACAGAGTAGGAATTTCTTTCTGTACGCGACTCACAAAAAACGCGTGCACGATATAATCATTTTTAAAAGCGCGGGAAAGAGGATTCGTACTCGGTAAATGATCTTGTTCATTGTCGCGGTTTTTATGTGTTTTCTGGCGTATCGTATAATTATACCGATTTATACGTATACCTTTCTGTCCTTTTACTTTTCTCTCTCACATTCTTCTGCTTCTCAGTTCTCATCCCGTATCCGCGCAATAGAAGATGTATGTACATACCGCGAACTTTCACATGCGCATCGTACTGTCCGTGCCGTCCGTGCCGTCAATGGCGTCAATTGCAAATTGCATCAGGGTCTGTAAACTTCATTCGTAAAACGTATACCAGCGTTAGTAGCGCCGCCTGCTACAGAGGGACCGCAAAATGGAACTTTGTAGCCAAAAAATCAATATGGCGTCTTACGTTTGTCAATGCAATTGACCTACGTAAGCCTATATGCCTATATACAGGGTGTCTCAAAGAAACGGATCGAAACACAATGGGGACGTAGATTGGATCAAGGGGAACAAAACAGTTTTGTACCATTTTGCAGTTGACGCAATATTTAACGAGATATTAACGTTTAAAGATAGGCGAATACAAGCGTCCGACCAGCCTACTGCTCAAGCGCTATCCTTCTTGTCTTGCCGGCAGCAGTACATGAGCAGTAGGCTGGTTGGACGCTTGTATTCGCCTATCTTTAGACGTTAATATCTCGTTAAATATTGCGTCAACTGCAAAATGGTACAAAACTGTTTTGTTCCCCTTGATCCAATCTACGTCCCCATTGTGTTTAGATCCGTTTCTTTGAGACACCCTGTATATATATATATATATATATGAGCGTAAGACGCCATATTGACTTTTTGGCTACGAGGTTCCATTTTGCGGTTCCTCTATAGCAGGTGGCGCTACTAACGCTGGTATACGTTTTACGAATGGAGTTTACAGATCCTGAATTGCATCCGCTGCCGACTGCCCGCGCTCACAGCGCGGCGATCCAAAAGAAACTGAAAGACTCAACGAGTGATCACCGAGATCGCCTTCTTTCGTATCGTGCGGGTCAGGGGCTCGTGGGAGTTATATTCTGGTCGTTCGTCTTTTTTTACATGGCCAATATATATCTTTATTCCATTCCTTTTTTGCTCCCTTTCGCACTTAATCCCTGTTACGCGTATTTTTCACTTATATTATATATTTTCACATACTATGATGAAATGAAAAAACTCTATGAAATATAATATTTTGTATCTCAGACGCATATATATTTCTAGTATAAATAAATATATGTATATTTTAATATTTTATTAACAAAACTTGCAACAATATTGCTGCAAGTTGGAGAAGTAACGTTGATTAGGACATTAATTTTCGTAATTATCAGTTCAAACGTACCTTATCGAAATATATTATGAATCTCCTCATAATTTTTCTTTTCGTTGTTTTTGTAGACTCAAATTCCAACTCTCGCTATCTCTCATCGTCTATAAAGTTATACTCTCATACGATAATTTTGATGATCCTTCGAAAAACATGCGTGCATCTAATAGCGAATTCGATTGGATGCACTCAGTGCGCACTGGTGCACATTAAAGCCGTCGTACACAAAATAACGTAAAGATATATTTATAAATAAACATAGAAATTGATTAAATCTTGAAATACCCAATTCATTTTATTGTACTATTAGATAAAATATGTATTTCATAATTCGAAATATTTGCATTACATTTTTATACAATGGGTTTAATGTGCACTAGTGCTTCCAATCGAATTCGCCATAACTTTCACTATTTTTTCTCAATGAACTTGGACAGATTTTTCGTGACCTTCGATAAATTTATAATGTTCAGTATATTACTTAAATTTTTCTCAGAAGATTACCTTTAGAGAGAGAGAGAGAGAGAGAGAGAGAGAGAGAAACTGCTTCAACTGCTGCACGTTCAACTCAAGTTCATGAACAGTGATTCCCAACTTTTGGGAAACTTTTCAAATTTTGATCATTAATTTAATTGATAATTATCGAATAACATTTGTATTTAATATCAATAGATTTATTGATCTTTTGCTTTGAAACACATGGAAAGAAAGATTAAATTTAGAGACGATCATTGGAGTTTTGGTCGAAGGTTCGCATTTGAAATTGGAAAACCATAAGCAGCAATTGAATTGGCCAATCCCAGTCGTGAATTTGAAAGTGGCATACGCTCTTAATAGTGATTGGTCGATTTTTGCACCTTTTAGGATGCCGTCACATTTGCTGGATTTACACTGTATCCGATTTTCGTCGTACGACG